CTCCTCCCAGAAGGTAATAAGGAAAACAGGTCATACATCAAGGACTAAGGGAGCACAATGGCTCACGAGGTTAAAACGCTGGGCTGACGATTGGCAGGCTTGTGTTTGAGACCCACTGCAGCAGTGGGGTGGGGTGAGCTTCCATCACAGGCTCCAGCTCCTGCCGACCCAGTGGTTCAAAAGTGGGTGACTGCAAGTAGATAAATGGATACCACTTCGGTGGACAATTTCACGGGGGTGCAAAAGGAGCCACCAACTGGGTAAGCCCTGGGCAATGGTGATGTCACCAGCAAATCCTTTCACTACGGAAGCACGGAGTTAAAATTTTATTTCTTTGCTACCATCACGGGGGGTGTCCAGAGTTTTGCAGCATCTGACAATATTTACTCCATCCGTTCACTACATTTTTAAACTTCACAACAATCTCAGTTCTGAAAAGCACCAATGAGCTAACTCTGTAAAGGATTGTCCTTGGGTGATATGGCAGACCTGAAAAGGTGGTGTGTTTTCCCAAAGCCAAGTACTTTGCCTGGTTTCTTTGAATCCCATAATCCCCCCTTGCCACCTCCCTGACAAGCTAATGACCAACAATGAAAAAATGAATAATGCTTAAAATCTTGCTCTTTCTACTGTGTATGGTTGTTTTTTTTTACCAGATCAGGAAAATCTGCAAAACTCTGAACACCCCTGAGATGGTAGCAAAGAAATGAAACTTTAACTCTTTGCTCCCATTTGGTGGTGGTCTATATTTTACAGCCCAAACAAAGTAGCTGTGATCATTGGTTGAATGGTTGAAACTTAGGGATCTGGGGCAGCAGAGTCAATTTTGAATCCCAACAAAGGAAACTTATCTGTGAAGAGTAACTATTGTTTTAAGGTTTTTTTAAAGCTAAAGAGATCAAAGTAAAAAGATGAAGAAAAGGCCTGCAGATTAAATATGGATTATGAAGCACTTTTCTTACAAAGAAAGAGGCTAAAAAGATTTGAAAAATGACAGTTAAAGGGGATTGGGTTATTACAGTATGATGAAAATATGTAAGGTTTGGCGTGGTAAAAGTGAATATAAGAAATATGTTTACCATTGCTTGCATAAGTAGAAATAGAGGCTTGGTCTGCTATTAATAACATCTGCCAAGAAATGTGATTGATATCAGTCCCATGAAAACTACTTGTTAATAGGACTTGCCTGTGTACATGTGTGTGTGTGTGTGTGTGTGTGCTTTTGAATCAGTTATTTTCTTTGTGTGACTCCTGATCAAGTCCCTGCAGTTTTCTTGACAAGGTTTTTCAGAAGTGGTTTGCCATTGAGAGAACATGACTGGTCCAAGAACACCCAACTGGCTTTGTGCCTAAGGTAGACTAGAATTCAGTCTCCTGGTTTTTAGCCTAATGCCCTAACCACTATACCAAATAGGTCTCTTATATTATTGCACTATTATTATATTATTATGCATTCTTATATGATTGTATTTTATTTTATGGCACTATTAATGCAGAAAGGTAGAGCCAATTATATATCTTTTTTTCATCCAATTATATTTGGGGTGGTTGCATGGGAAAGACGACACGATTGGAGTCTTCTCCATGAATTTTTAAATAAATACTATAGCAAAACAGATGTCATTGCACTAAGCAAATATATATAAAGCCTGGGATATTGGAATATTGGTTTTTCATCCTAGGGGTATTTCTATTAGGCCGCCTCTGAAAGAAATTGCTGAAAAATTTGGTACATTTACGATTAACTTGACTTACGTGAACTATTAGCCCTTCATTACTAGACCTAAGCACACATAAGCAGAGATCTAATTTCATACCAGTTGCCCTCATTTGCCAAATTATTATGGCCCTGTAAGGGATGAATGGAACATGTAGTCAAGTTACAATGACCCATGAGCGCAATTCACATGTTTACATAAACCCAGTATGTTTTACACTTGGTAGAGGATGTATATATATTTATTAAATTTGTGTGCCGCCCATCTTGTCCAGATATATCCTTCTTCTAATAAGGATTTGCATGCTTTCGAACTGCTAGGTGATCAGGAACTGGGGCAAGGAATGAGAGCTCAATCACAACAGCTTATTTACTAATAGTGTAACAGAGCCATTTTCCAGTTTATTGTAGGAATATGTGATTATCAAGTATGCAGATGACATAGAGGGATGACTATTAACATAGAGGAGAGAAAAAAAGATTTAGACAGGCTTGTGCATGTCAGTAGGACAAACGAAAGGTCTACATATAGGATGGGCAAGATCTGTCTTGGCACTATATAGGTAAAAGGCTCCGAGTGCTAGCTGATCACATGTCGCAGTGTGATGTACTGCTAAAAACAAGTGCTATTTTGGAGTTTGTGAATAGGAGCATAGAATTCAGAAAAGGGCTTTCCAAATGGTGAAGGATCTGGGAACAAAGAAATGATTGAAGAGAGGGTTTTTAAAAAAGAATAATCAAGCACCGATTTCTAAATCTGAACAGTAATGGAAAATAGCTTTTCAGCTAGTCTTATAATCTCCCTTTCTCATTGCTGAGGCTCTACACTATGCTAAACCAAGAATGTAAAAACTGTAAAATGTAAAAACCACATGGACTGAGGGTGATTTACAAGTCATTTGTTATTCACCAAGCAATCTATATATCTTGGCCATTTGGGAGTATGTTAGGGGCAGGATTAGGGGGCAAAAAACATTTTATTCATCCCTTAAAATCTCATGCCCAGATTGGTTCCAGCTCTCCTGAACTTTTAGATTGCAGTTTTCAATATGTTGACAATGGTGAATAGTCTGGTCCTTGATCAGATAAGTTGTCTGCACCTCAAAGCTAAATTATACTTCTGCTGTGGTTGTGCCTTATGCTTGATGGATTTAGAGCATTGAAAATCTTGATGTATGGTTTAGTAGTCTCTGTGAAGCAGGTCATTATTGGCTTCCTCGATAGACTTGTATGTGAACCCAGTGTTGAAATCCACTGTTGTTAGGTGTGTAGTGTGAGTGAAAAAAAAGAACACGAGGTGTAGAGTTTTGAATGAACAGAGTCCATGAGTCACAGAGTAGCCTATGAGCAAAAGGTCTGAATTATTGTAAAGCTAAAGTTTTAATGTGCTTTTTAGCAATGGCAAATTACAGTATTTTCAATGTTACTGTATCTGTAAATAAAAAGTTATAATGGTGTTTATTATAAGTTCCAGATAGTTTCTCAGTCAAAGAGTGTGTGTGTGGGGGGGGGGGAGGATTCTTTTGTGTCCTCTGGAATTAGTTAGCAGATAATATGTAACTGCGAGATTTCATGTAGTGAATGACCTGAGAGCAAAGGACACATCAGCTTGAATTCCCCAATCTTTGTGATTTAAGAGGGGTGGGGGAGGCAGCAGGTGTCTGCTGAAGAGGCCAGCTAGAAACAACAATCGCTTTCAAAAGTGACTTCTTTCTTTGATAGCCAGTGAGAATAGAAATATGTAAATGAGCAAATCTGCAAGCAGAAAACAACTTCCCCTTTTGGTTTGCAGCCAATGCTTTTAAAATAAGGAAACGTTTCTTTAAATTTATGGCAGAACATTCCACACACAGTTGTCACTTTTGAAAATCTCCCTCAAAGAAAAGAAATAAATGTAACATCTTTAAGTAAAATCTTTAGAAATATAATAACTATGTTGCGAGAATTTATTATCAAGGGATTAAACTTAAAGGGAATACAGTAATCAGAATGGAAATGACATAGAAGTTAATGCTGGCTTAAGAAGAAGAAAAAAAAACATTTTTTTTTCTTGTTTCAGGCAGAAAAATAGCAGTCCTCATGCAATGCAGTGCTTTCTTGAAAAACAAACAAGCAAGGTAGTGTGACATTCAGATTCTAAAATGATATGAGATCCCTAAATCTACAGTTCAGAGGCATGTTCACGGTTACTTGGCACAACTGTCAGAATATGAAACCATTAGGAATATTTTCAAGTCTCGGAGACAAAGCCCTGCTTGCTAAGAACTTTTGTTCTGTAGAAAGACAGGGAGGTACAAGTGAACAACGGAATCAAAAGGCTGGAAATCTGCTGCTGTGAATAAATGTTAGCTGGTCCCTGAGGTGATTTGTCTGCGCACTTCACTTTCTACAGATGTGAGATCCTCTCTCTTTTTTTTTTTTCACAAGGACCTGAGGTTCTTGGTAGCACTTTGATATCCTGTTTGAATTCAATATGTGAAATGGAGGAGTCGCTGTGTGACTGGGAGCACAGCTGTCTTTGAAGTCTGATCCAATTTTTGCTGCTTACCATTTGATGTTGCAAGGATGAAATGAAGAAAATGTACAGTTTTTGCCAGTAGCTCTGCTGAGCATATGTAAGATTAAAAAAACAAAATCCCTTGGATGATGTACTTAGAAATGTTAAGCAGATTAATACCTTCCTATAGCTTTTTTTTTTACTTCTAAAGATACAAATTAACTTGGAGCAAAAATCAGCATATATCATATGCCATTATTCACAGTTTTTCTGTGCCAGGGAGGGAAACAGGTAGTAGGAAGTGGGGTGGGGAAAATAAGGCTTGTGATATTGTCAGAAAATATAACTGCTAAGAAAATTCACAGGGTTTGGTCCGCTCAAATGTAGGCTCAACAAAACTGGATGGACTAGATAGAATTCTAAGGCAGGGGTCTCCAACCTTGGCAACTTTAAGACTTGTGAACTTCACCTCCCAGAATTCTTCAGCCAGCTGTCTGAGGAATTCTGGGAGCTGAAGTCCACAAGTCTTAAAGTTGCCAAGGTTGGAGACCCCTATTCTAAGGTACTACTAACTATTAACTTCCCTAGCTGAATCCCACCAAATGTGATAGACATGCCGGTTGAGAGTTGTAGTTGAATACTGTCTCCCATCTAGCACTGGAACTTGCCAGAGATCATCCAGAATATTAAATGTAATACAGTTGTAAAATAGTATGTGCATGTCTTGGTGACTACAAACTTGAATTGAAAAACAACTCTTTTTTTCTTTTCTTTTTTCTTTTCAAGATTTTAGCTGAAACTTCAGCATCCCTGGCCATTCTGAGACATTCAGACCAAGTGAAAGATTTACACCCTTTCTGCTACACCCGTTTAGCTGCAGATCATCAACTGCCTTGTCCACAAAGACCACTGGAAAGTCAAGGTAGGAAATGTATAAAAAGGCATAGTTGTTAACATATACCTTTTCTTACGTAAAAAAAGAACCCCTTACAATTCCCTAAAAAGACCAAAAACAAATAGACAACAGATTCGGCAGGAGTCAAGTTATCCTGTCAATCTTTTTCTCCTTAATTTTAAATAATACAAATTAATTACAAAAGCAATCTACTCCACCTTTCCCTATTGCGTGCATGGGCATTGTCAGCTGATGATGTAGTAACTGTTACGTTAAACAACACAGTACATCTCAAGGATTTATATTTTAGATATACCTTTAGGACTATCTATATCTGTTCATTCTCACTTCTACCCAGAGGTGGTATTCAGCAGGTTCTGACCAGTTCTGGAGAACTGGTAGCGGAAATTTTGAGTAGTTCGGAGAACCGGCAAATACCACCTCTGACTGGCCCCGCCAACCCCATCTATTCTCTGCCTCCCGAGTCCCAGCTGATCGGCTGGGTCTTCTTTTGTTGCCCTGCACAGGAAAACGGAGCTGGAAAGCAGGTTAGTGGGATGGGGAGGGAATGGGATTTTGCAGTAACCTTCCCCTGGAGTGGGGTGGGAATGGAGATTTTACAGTATCCTTCCACTGCCATGCCCACCAAGCCACACCCACAGAACTGGTAGTAAAAAAAATTTAAATCCCACCACTACTTCTACCTACATAATATTTGCAGAATCAGATTCAGATCCTGTAAGCCTGTGTAAGAGAAATCTGGAAACAATTATATGAGGATGGTTGGCAGCTAAGATTAAATGATGTTGACTCAAACAAGGTAGTTACGCTATATCTGCAAGCCAAAACAAAAATCAGGGGGTGAAGCAAGGTCTGTATTTAAAAGAATTACTCCAATGATTTATGAGAAAAGAAGCAAGAGTAATATGAAGGACTATATGGGTTTTGTACAGAAGAGCAGATAAAGGTTAAAAGTAAGGTTAGCCATGAGCAAAACAATCCCAACTGGTGTTAATAGGGAGTAAAAGACCCAGTTCACAGCTGCTGTTTTATGGTGTGCAACAAGGCTCAGTACTCTCTCCATTCCTCTTTAAAATCTACATGAAGCTTCTCAGTGAGATCATCCATCACTATGGATTGAAGTATCTCCAGTATACTCAACTTCATATCTCTGCTCCGGGTGACACAAGTTATGCTGTTGCTGCCCTCTCACAGTATCTGGAGGCTATGGGAGCCTGATTTGGGGACAACAGACATCAACTAAACCTTGGAAAGACAGAATGGTTTTAAGTGCACGGAGCTCCAAGATCTGAGACTTGAACATCTTTATTTCTGGATGGGGTGGCACTACTCCAGACAGATACAGTCCACCACCTGGGGGGGTTCTCCTGGATTTGCAACTCTTGCTTGAAGAGCAGGTGGCAGTTTCAGCTAGGAGAGCATTCACACAACTCTAGGTTGTATACCAGATACAGCCTTTCCTGGATCAGGTGTTGCTGTGCTGTCATTCAAGCCTTAGTCATCCCACATTTGGACTACTACAATGCTGTTTACATGGGGATACCCTTGAAGAGGATTGAATGAGACGTGGTGGCGCAGTGGTTAGAATGCAGTATTGCAGGTTAATTCTGCCGACTGCCAGCAGTTCGATCCTCACTGGTTCATGATTGACTCAGCCTTCCATCTTTTTGAGGTCGGTAAAATGAAGACCTAGATTGTTGGGGGCAATATGTTGACTCTGGAAAACTGCTTAGAGAGGGCTGTAAAGCACTGTGAAGTGGTATATAAGTCTGAGTGTTATTACTATTGTTATTTGGAAGCTAGAACTGGTGCAGAGTATGGCAGCACAGGCAGTCTTTGGGACCTCTAGAGCAGGGGTCGCCAACCTTTTGGACCTCAAGGACCACCAAACTCATAATTTTAAATCCTGCAGACCAGAGAACCTAGGAAAATCCACCAAAAAGTCTGCAGGAAAATACCTCATCCCATTTTCGTACCGATCGATCATTCCTTATTTGGGATTGCAGGATACCGTCTCCAGTTCCGTTCTCAGGGGGAGGGAGAGAGAGAGAGAGAGGGAGGGAGGGAGAGACATTTTTGGCTTCATGCAAGGAAAGCAGCAGAAGCAGCAGAAATCTTTCTTTCTCTCTCCCAAACTCCGCCAGAAATGAGTCTTTGTGAGACTTGTCACGCCGGCACAGCCTCTTGGAGCAGGATGCCTTGCAGGGTCCCAAAGACTCATTTCTGGTGGAGTATGAGGGAGAGAAAGAAAGACTTTTGCTGCTTTCCTTGCGTGAAGCCAAAAGAAGAGGGAGAAAGAAGCGGAAATAAGCAGCCTGGTGGCCAGGCCAGGCGCATGGGATAAGTGAGGCAAGTTCCCCCGCTTCTCCCTTTCCCCCCTCCCCTCACTACTTCATGTTGTTCACAGTGCAAGTGACACAAGCCTTGTGTTCCCATGCAGCTTGGATTAATTGCTTTGGGGGGGGTGCTTTGGGGGGACATTTCTCTGCCGGCCACCAAAATTTTCTTGTGGACCATCAGTGGTCCCCAGCCCACTGGTTGGTGACCAGTGCTCTAGAGTGAACCATATTATACTGCTGTTTCATGAACTGCACTGGCTGCCATTTGCTTCCAGATGCAATTCAAGGTGTTGGTTATCACCTTTAAAGCCCTACATGAAGAACTGTTTCAATGGGACTGGCCTGCCCCACCCATGCCAGCAGGGGAGGCATGGTAGCTAATTTAAGATGTATGGGTGAGAAGGGAGTCATTTCTTGTTATTGCTAAATAATAGGAGTCAGAAATCCTTGCTCTAGTGCAGATGGCCCGGAGGCTTAGTAATAAATCCAGATCATTTTTTTCTCCTGTCCACGATGACAATATTTAATATGTCTGAAATATCAAACTTGTACCAGGAAGGGAACAATAGGTGAAAGCAATCTATCCAAAACAGCATTTATATGCTGACAGTTTAACTGGTTTTTTTTTCACCCAAGTAAGGCCTTGAAGATTATTACATGTATTTGTATATTTGAAATATATAGTGCAGTGGACCAGCTGAGTCTGTGGGATGGAAAGCACTTCTCTCTCAAAAACTCTCTGACTCTGACCCCTGTTTTGGGATAGCAGCTTGGTAGTTCTCATTGTTGATGGTTCTCAGATTGGCACTCACCTGGAATCTTGCTCGTAAACTAGATTTAGAGTTGCACTCGCTATTGCCTCATACCTACCCTGCGAAGGAATTGATGGGTAAGTATAGATTGAAGATAGCCGCAAATAGACTAGGGGTGTCAAACTCAAGGCCCGCGAGATGGAGCCAGCCTGCAGGATGCTTAGATCTGTCCCAGGGGGCCACCCTGGAAACAACAAAGGACCAGCCCGTGGTGCCTCTGCCAGCGAATATGGACTCAGGGAGGCTGCACAAGGCGCACCCCCGGGCTCTGTTTTTGGCCATGACGGCCTCCTGCAGTCCTCTGCCAATGAAAACAGAGGGCTGTAGGAGGCTGTTGTGGTTGAAAATGGAGCCACAATGAGTGATGTCAAGCTTGCCATGCCCACCTTGGTCATGGCCCTGGCCACTGCCTCCAGGCACCAGAGATCAGTCATAACCCTGATGTGGTCCTCAATGAAATCGAGTTTGACACTCCTGAGATAGACCAATACAAACACTCCCATTGGAGGTGTGCATCCTGCATGCTGATTGGTCGATTAAACTTACTGTTCTATGCTATGCTGTTGGAATGCTCCCCAGCCAGAATGTTAAAATCCGTGGACATGTAAATTCAACAGCTATGCAACTGTCTTTGAACGACAGATGCATATGTTCCTTTACATGCGGTGCCAGAGATGTCTGCTCAACCCTTAAGAGACATAGGACCCTCACAACCTGTACTGCCTTACTGACAGTTTTGAAAAGCAAAAATGCAAAAAAGCAAGGCAATTTTAACAATCAAATTTCTTGGCTGGTTATGTAATTCAAGTTAACATTATAGATTAGAATAACTTTCTAAATAAAACAAAATGTTTCCTATACAGTGAGATAAAGAGGTAAGTGTTATATGCTAAATTCATAATTTTTACAAATAAATAAAAATTATAGAAGCATTATAGAAGCATAACTAAACAATTAGCACTATTCTCCAGATGAGCTGTTCAGAGCATCCATTGTTTGGGGTGATGCTTCTGTCGCTCGTTTGATAGACTGGGCTTTAATTGAGAGGACGCTCCTCCTCCTCCTCCACGGGACTCCTCCCTAGCGTCCCCAGTTTTTGCTCAGCCTTCGTGGATATAGGCAGCTTAATTTCCTTTCCCTTGGCCGGAACAGCAAAGGCTTCAAAAGGAGACAACAAAAAGGTTTGCTTTTAAACTCTAAACAACTCATTTAAGGCTTTTAGTTTCATTGAGTCAAGCAGCTCCCTATATACTATATAGGGTATATAACTCAAGCCAAGGGAGCTCACCGTAGCTTCAGATAATGATCTCTCACCACCAGGACGATCAGAGGTGATAACGCCTCAGCCGCATGTCTAAAAATTCACATTTCTTAGCCCGTACCATTACAATATTTTCAAGCCGAGCTGCTATGATTGCCGCCGCCCATGCCCGACAGGAGAGGCTCCATTTTAAAAGGGTCCGAGGCTTTTTTCTCTCCCCTGGGAGCACCGTCTGGGGTGGGGGCATCAGCGCCCATCTGCCCCACCACACCTTTTTATTCAAGGGGAAACTCTGCAGTATCGACTCCCCACAAGGCGTGGAAGTGCTGCTGAGCCGATTTACCTCATTACATGCCTAAAGAGATAACGGCTGGTGCCATTGCAGACTCACTAACCATGCGGTAGTGAACTGCATTTTATTTCTGGAACTGTGAGAGGCTTTTCTTTCCCCAAGCAGGGGTCTCCTTCCTGGAACCTGAGGGAAATCACCCTAATACGTATGTGCGTGTATCTATATGCGTGTATATATGTATATATGTGTACATATATGTATGTGTGTGTGTATATGTGTATGTATATAGATATTCAGATATAATTATTCTATTTTGGACCCTTATTCATTGAGGAGGAAACTGTTGGCTTATGCCCTCACAGAATTAAACAGCAGCACCACAGCGAGCACCAAGGCCCGTGTCCGCCTGTGCAGGAAGCTGTCGCAGGCCTACATCTTATTTCAACAATTCCTCCTTTCTAGGCCTATGAGGTGTTCCAAATTTGGCTAATTCGGAAATAATAATATTAATAACAAAAAAATAATAACGATAATAATAATAGGAATAGGAATAAGAATTCAATATTCTTACATAAGATTATACAAAACTGGGGAGCATTGTTTTAGGGTTCCCTGGCCATTGCTGGTTCAGGCCCCTGGGCGTGCCAACCGCCCAACATTTCAGCCTCATTAACAGTAAAATTTAATAAGCGGTCACAATGGCAAGCGGCAGCAGCTCAAGAGCCAAGTCAAATTCTCAAAACAAATTGAAGCATTCTAAGTGTACCTCCTAAGCAGCAGAAAAATACGCTAACATGAGCCATAAGGTACTAGAAAAACACATGAAGAAGTTCATGTGGGAGGATGAAGATAATTCTCAAACCTCATCTCCTCCACGCCTACTTCGGCTCCAATCCCCCTCTGCAACCACCCCTGGATCTGTCTGTGTAATCCAAACGCAGCGCAGCTGCACAAGATCAGGTAGCCCATCTAGATCAGTACAAGTGACTCAAAGTGACTCTCTGGCCACATTGCTCCAACAGCAGCCAGATTCTGTCAAGATGATGACTTACCGGAAAAGATCCCCACAAAGATGAGACTGTGGATGGAATTAGCAATACACCAATGTATCTCTGCGAGGGTGCAGCATACTGCTCTGGCCAACAACAGAGCATTCCTTCTGATTGAAATTCCCTATAACTCCGGTCACTAAGTAGGACAGAGCATCCTTACCCTCAGGTATCTCTCCACAGGAGATTCTGTAGTTTCAGACATACTCCCGCAAGGTATATAGAAGAAGCAAGGGCTATTGATCGGGTGGAGCCAGAGGACTCAGAGTTCTCCTGCTCAAATTCTCAAATTCTAGTTAGATTCGCATCGGCTCACAATAAGAATTCCATGGCATTATCTGTTGAGAGGCCACTTCCCCTCACAAGGATCTCTCCGTGAGGGTCCAGGGGACATTTATGCCGATTATGAAACTCTTTCTGAGGTTGACTATTGGGCTTCCCTTTTAAAGTTGGCAGCCCTCACAGAATTCTAGCAGCACAGTAACAACGAGCGCCAAGGCCTGTGTCTGCTTGGGCAGGAAGCTGTTGAGGGCCAGTGATTGCAGGATCACCCAATTGCAATACAGGTCCTGAAAGGTGTTCTCTATTTGGCTTCACAATTTGATTCCATATTCAGTCATCTAATTATGAGTTTGGTAACAGCACAACAATTTATGTTAGTAGCTGTGCACAGATATAACAAAAATATTATCAATAATAACAATATTAATGATATCAATATTATTATGAATAATAACATAATAAATTGAATTTACCCCCCAAAAAGGGGAGGGAGAGCAAATATCAAGAGGATTCCCTGCCTCTGTTTACATCAGTCCTCTGAACCAGTCAACAGTCAATTAATATCTCATACACATATAGATATATAGATATAGATATCTCACCTTGTGGGCTTTAGGTCAGAATCTTCAAGGGCAACCAAAAATACCCCCAGAGGACAATAAACCAACTTAAAGTAGGTCAAAACGTCCTAGAGAGACCTCTAAGGCAACAAAGGATGCCAAAAGACACCAAAATGTGTTAGATAAGCATATCTTTAAAAACAAACAAAAAAATGTATGAGGGAGGTTGAACAGAAGTCTCAGTCCTCTTCCCCAGCCAGGCTGGCCCCAGATCCAGAGTGCTCGCTTCAGCAGCACATATACTAAAATTGGAATGATACAGAGAAGATTAGCATGGCCCTTGCGCAAGGATGACACGCAAATTTGTGAACTGTTCCATATTTCACCTTGCCTCGATCCCTGGATCTCTCAACCCCATCCAGGAGAGCCTCAGAGGGACCAGTTCAACCCAGGCCTTGCAGCACTACTTGCCTGACAGACAGTTGTGGGACCATGCCAGAATTCCTCCTCCCAGAGGATATCCCTGACAAATTGAAGGCCTGGAGGGACATGGCAACTTGAAGAGGCATCGCAGCTGGGATACAGTAGAAGTTGATGGCTAGGCAGCCTCCACAATCTGACCTCGATTCTCACTTGATTTAGTTGCTATGCAGGATAGACCTTCATTACAAGCAGTTACCTCCTTCAGGGGAGGATTATATAATCCTGTTACACATTCACATGATGCACAGGATGAGGGAGAACTAGAGACCAGATCGAACAGGTTGAGGAAGGGTCTACTCACGATAGGCGGATCCCCTAAATAAGGGGGGCATGTCAGACATTGAAGGCATTAAGCCAAACCACCAACCTTCAGATCTGTTTCGCCCTCAGACTTTTTTCAAGTCTCTGTTGTTTCAAACAAAAAACAAAAAAAACACCCTACTGCCTGTCTTGATACGTTACTGTAAGGGGCGTCAGACAATTTAATCTTCTCCCAACCAATAATGTAAGAGGAAGTCATAACTGTCCCACAGAGGTTCTTGGACCTCGTCCAGAAACAAGGGGTCTCTTCAGTGGCGTATACTCCTCTTACAAGATATGATAGAAAACTTTTAATTTGGTTTTCTGATTCTGCTAAATTTCTCATCACCACGATAGTAGATAAAACAATAATGGCAATTATCATCCTCCTCTGCAATTCCAACGGAAGCAGAAGAGGCTCTCAAGTCAAAGGATATATAGGGTCGAGTTGTCTCCATGTAGGGCATGTCGATCTGATGTGAGGGCCATAAGAGCGGAGTTGGCCGCATCCCCCTTTTTTTACTAGATCGTCTCTCAGGTTGCTCCGCCATCTGAGGGAGATTATCTCAAATTCCAATATCAGGGCACACAAGGACGCCACAAAACTCTATTAAATTATCTGCTCGAGCCAGGGCATCTCAGGTTATTCTTCGCCTACTGCTATAGCTCAGACATTGGCAAGCAGATATCACACAACTAATGGAAGCTTGCTTCCTGCCCAATATATGGAGATAATTTGATTGGTGGTGCCCCTGACTTATCTCTGATAGAGACTAGAAGCAGAAAATAAGTTCCTCTCTTTTCATGGACCCCAAAATAGTCCTTCCTAGCTTTTTGGAGGTGTTCTGTACAAGTCAATTAACATACTCGTAGCCCCGCGTCGCGATTGGTTAAGGCGCGCGACGACCGGATTGGTCGAGCGAGCCGCACTGATTGGTCCGCTGCGAATCCCCCGCGATTGGTGGAAACTAATCGCGGGAGATTCGAAGCGGTGTCATTGGCCGCGACCGCCGCGGCTCGAGAATAAAAAGCCGCAGTTTTTCCCTTCAAGCCTAAGCTGTATTCAGGAGCCAATAAAGAGCTGAAACCAAGTCACTGTCTCCGAGCTTCCTTTCTCGACGGACACGACACTGGCGACGAGGGTGGGATCCAAAGAATAACCACCGAGCACGTGTCCCGAGGAAGACAAAGGACCGACGAGATGGCCAGCATGACCCCACCCGCACCCTTCAACCCCGCTACCGAGGACTGGGAATCGTACACGGATAGATTCCTGATGTTCCTCGAAAGTAGCAATTTGAAGGATGCGAACGGGCAGAAGAAAAGGGCCGTCTTCCTCACACACTGCGGGCCCGCAGTGTTTAAGATGGCCAAAGCCCTCGCGAAGCCAGAGGACGTGAAGGCGATGGACTGGGCCGATCTCGAGCCACTCCTTCGGAACCACTACGCCCCCGCTGTGCCCATTCTCATCCGGCGGGATGAGTTCTATCGGCGAAACCAGCGGCAAGACGAGAGCATTAGCGACTTTATAGCCGCCTTGCGAGACCTAGGGGGGATGTGCGAGTTCAGGGACCTGGACGATGTCCTCCGAGACCGCGTGGTCCTAGGCCTCAGGGATCAGGCACTAAAAAGTCGACTGATGGCGAAAGGCAACATCGACCTCGGGGACGCCCTGGCCGAAGCTTCCGCAGCCGAAGCCACCCGGAAGTCAGCAGCCAGACTTCGGAGGGCAGACAACGGGGACCACACTGAAACCCCCGAGACAAGCCAACGAGAAACCACCACACACCACGGGGACCTGGACTCCGCCTCCGATACCATGGACGAGGAGGAAGACGTCCACCGACTACAAACAGGACGGGACCGGCGAGATCAACGGGGTCGTAAGTCGGGGAACCAGTGCGCCGGGTGCGGGGGAAACCACTTTCGATCCGAGTGCCGTTTTATCGACGCGATCTGCCGGCAGTGCAACAAGAAGGGCCACATCGCCCGAGTCTGCCGACTCAAAAAGACACACAGCCCCCGCCGGCGAGAACCAAGCAACCGGGGACGAGACGACACCCCCCCGAGAATCAGAGATCGCCAAGCCGACTATCGCTGGAACCGAGACAACCGAGGACGACGGAGCGGGGAAGGCCGACAGAGAGAAGAAACCCACCAGACGGTCACCATCGGCCATGCCGAAACCACGGATGCCCGGAAGGTCTACGTGGAGGTGAGCATAGAGGGCGAACCATGCCGGATGGAGGTAGACTCCGGATCCTACCTCTCCATGGTCGCCTGGAAAGAACTCAAGCGCCTGGTGCCAAACATCCAGAAAAGAGGACTGGAGAACCAGAAACTGATCATCAAGGACTATCAGGGGAACCGCATCCCCGTCATTGGGACCGGACAGTTCGTGGTGACTTTCAAAAACCGCACCGCGAAACTTCCCCTGACTATCGTGGACCGGAACCGACCCAGCCTTTTAGGACTCCAATGGTTCGCGCCACTCGGGATCGAGGTCACGGGAGTAAACCACACCACAGAGGCCGACTGGGAGCAGCAGCTGGCGAGGGACTTCCAAGAAGTATTCGACGGCACCCTAGGCAAGTACAAAGGGCCCCCTATCTCTTTTAGCCTAGACCCAAATGTCGCCCCCATACGCCTAAAACCCAGACGGGTGCCTTTTGCACTCCGGAAGAAAATAGACGAGCAGATTGACAAACTCGTCAAACAGGGGGTTTTGCAGCCAATCGACCACGCCCGGTGGGAGACCCCTATAGTCACCCCAGTCAAACCAGATGGGTCAGTAAGGATCTGCGGGGACTATAAGGCCACCCTCAATTGCGCCCTGCAACAAAGCGCCTACCCCGTCCCAGTAGTGCAACACCTATTACACTCGCTGGGGGGGGGCAAGGTCTTTGCGAAGCTCGACCTGGCGCAAGCCTATCAGCAACTGCCGGTCGATGAAGAAACCGCCGAGGCGCAAACAATAGTCACCCACCGGGGAGCGTTTCGTTGTAACCGACTCCAGTTTGGAGTCAGCGTAGCCCCAGGAATCTTCCAGAGCCTCATGGAGAGACTGCTGCGAGGAATCAAGGGGGTGGTTCCCTATTTTGACGATGTATTGGTGTCAGCAGCCAACCAGGAGGAACTAGAGGGTCGCCTAAGGGAGGTGCTAGAAAAATTCAAAGGGGCCGGGCTAAAGGTGAAGAAAGAGAAATGCCAGCTATACACAGAGCAAGTCGAGTTTCTGGGGTACCTCCTAGACCGACATGGCATCCACCCAACCGGAAGCAAGGTCAAAGCCATAAAGGAAGCCCCCACACCCAAGAACAAAACAGAGCTGCAGGCATTTCTGGGACTGCTAAATTTTTACAATGTGTTCTTGCCCCAAAAGGCGACCGCGGCGGAGCCTTTGCATAGGCTCCTGGACAGGACGGCCAAATGGACCTGGGGGAAACGGGAGGACACCGCATTCAAGAATACCAAAGACCTGCTCACCTCGGATGCCGTTCTCATTCAGTATAATGAGACCCTACCCATCGCCGTCACATGCGACGCCTCACCATTTGGCGTCGGCGCTGTCCTCAGCCATACACTCCCAGACGGAAAAGAAGCACCCATCGCTTTCTTTTCAAGAACACTCAGCAAACCCGAAAGAAACTACAGCCAATTAGATAAGGAGGCACTGGCCATCGTCGCAGCAGTAAAAAAGTTCCACGAGTACCTCTACGGCCGCCGATTCACCCTCATCACGGACCACAAGCCGCTGCTAGGCATCCTGGCGGGGAACAAGGCCACCCCGAACATCCTATCCCCCAGGATGACAAGGTGGTCTGAGTTCCTCGCCGCCTACGACTACCGGCTCACACACAGACCGGGTAAGGCGATCTCCCATGCAGACGCGTTGAGCCGCTCGCCGCTTCCCGACCTAGACGACGATCCAGCTCCCACGACGACCACCCTCAGCATAGAGACATTGCCGGACCTACCCATAACCGCGTCAGACATTGCCCGAGAGACTAATAAAGACAAGCGTCTGGCGCGGGTATTACATTGGGTAGCAAAGGGATGGCCAGAGAAAGACAGCGATGATGCATTCAGGACATTCCGAAACCGGCAAACAGAACTGTCACTACAGAAAGGTTGTTTGTTATGGGGGGACAGGGTGGTCATACCGGAAAAACTGCAAGGGAAGGTATTACAATTATTACACGAAGGGCACCCGGGGATTGTGAGGACTAAAGCTTTAGCCAGAAGCTATGCTTGGTGGCCAGGTATGGACAAGGAGATCGAGGCCTGGGTAGCCAAGTGCTCGCGCTGCCAAGAAACCAGACCAAATCCCCCCGCAGCACCAATTTTAGAATGGGAAACGCCCAGGGGACCATGGTCGAGACTCCATATAGACTTTGCCGGGCCCACAAAAGGGAACACATTCCTCATCACGGTGGATGCTTACTCCAACTGGCTGGAGGTAAGCAACATGAAGACCACCACAACAGATGCGGTAACCAAGGTCTTAAACAAACTCTTCGCAACCCACGGTCTCCCGGATGTCATCGTGTCAGACAACGGACCCCAGTTCACCTCGCTGGAATTCGAAAGATTCCTAGCGGAACGAGGCATACGACACGCACTGACAGCGACGGCGCATCCGGCGGCCAATGGTAGGGCAGAACGGATGGTTCAATTTACAAAAAGAACCCTCCAAAAGATCGAACACGGGGACATACAAGAAAAAATAAATAAAATGCTCCTAATACAACATATCACCCCTAACACAACGACTAACAAAAGCCCGGCAGAATTACTAATGGGGAGAAAACTAAGGTCACCACTCGACAGACTACACCCCACATACAACCCGGAAAAACCCCCGGACTCATCTAGCAAGCACCGGGTTTTTGCACCAGGCGACGCAGTCTATGCAAAAAACCTTACCGGAGACCCAATATGGGTACCGGCAACTATAACCCAACTGACAGGACCCCACTCCTACCGGCTACAGACAACCGACGGACAAACATGGAAACGCCACATCGATCAAATAAGATCAAGAACAAAAAACACAACCGACACGCAACCAAACACAGACGACACCGATAACACAAACCAAGAGGGGAGGGAAGACACAGAGGATCAAATAGGAAATAACCAGCAATACTCACCAGTCAACAGCCAGCCCGAAGTCTCACCAGGAAGGAACAGCCAGGCCAGCTCAACCAGCCCGGAAAGACCAGGCAGGAGCGGCGAAAGTCGCAGCTCGACCAACCCGGGTAGACCAGGAGGGAGCTGCAACAAGAGGCCCAGCGACACCTTCCAGGGGGTTCCATCGACAGGGCCAAGAGAAACAGAAGTCCCGACCGAACCGGCCGGGAACCAAACAACAACTAAGCTGCGCAAGTCAAGTAGACAAGTACGAAGCCCCGCCTACCTACGGGACTACGTTACGTAGGACCGAACCAAGAGGGGAGGGGTGTTCTGTACAAGTCAATTAACATACTCGTAGCCCCGCGTCGCGATTGGTTAAGGCGCGCGACGACCGGATTGGTCGAGCGAGCCGCACTGATTGGTCCGCTGCGAATCCCCCGCGATTGGTGGAAACTAATCGCGGGAGATTCGAAGCGGTGTCATTGGCCGCGACCGCCGCGGCTCGAGAATAAAAAGCCGCAGTTTTTCCCTTCAAGCCTAAGCTGTATTCAGGAGCCAATAAAGAGCTGAAACCAAGTCACTGTCTCCGAGCTTCCTTTCTCGACGGACACGACAGGAGGGTTCCTTCGTTCCCTCTACCAGGGACTTTTTCCCTCCAGACTCCAGGGACCGTCTGGACTGATCTGGAGATAGATACTGAAGGGGAGGGCAGAGCAAGAGAATCTCTTCAGGAACATGAAATAGAGGTCTCCGAGGCATAACATAGGCCTCACGACTGTGCCTTTATTGGTGGAAGGCTCAAGCCTTTCACGGACAGATGGGATGCTTCTACCTCTTTTTCCTGGGTTAGAGATATCAGAAGATTAGGCCTGGCTATAGAATTTCCATCCTCTCCCCGGAACCTTTGCATTACTTGCCCTCTCTCTGGGGATCCCATTAAAGGGAGCGTGATGGAGACAGCTATTGTTCATTTATTGGAGATCCAGGCAACTGACCTGTGGCACCAGATCAGCAGGGGCAATTTTAGTTTTAAAATGTCCATAGTTCATAGGAGGCTTAAGATGAGTATACTGAACTCCATACTTCTGACCTTCAGAAGGGGCAATTTTCTACCCTCCATTAACTTAATGGAGGCCCATCCCCACATTCCAATTAGATCCTCACATAGCAAACCTCTTAGTTTTTGTTATAATACTCAACGTTTTGAATACATTGCACTGTCATCTGCCCAAGGTTCTTACGAAGGCTCTGATGGCTCTGGCTGTCCATCTCAGGGGAACACCTGTTAGATGGCAGGGTTATTTATATGACATTTCATTATTATCTTGTTCATATAAACAGGCAAAGGGGAGGCCTTAGCATCGGTCATCACTAGGAGACACTTGCAGTCCATCTCTCATCACCCACGCATATGCAAGTTTCTTGCACGGGGCTACAATCTTACGGCCTCCTCTAGTGCATTGATATCACACGTGGGACCTCAACAAGGTCCTTACCGCACTCAAGAAAACTTCCTTTGAGCGCATGTAGACCATGCATCTCCATTCCTAACGTACAAGGTGGTTCTCTTGGTTGCCATTACATCGGCCAGTTACATCTTGGATCTAGTAGCCTTGTCAGTTAGACAGGAGCTCTGTATTTTTCACACAGACAAAGTGGTCCTTAGTCCAGAGCCATCTTTCACCCAAAGATAAATTTTGGTTTCCACAGACCATAGGAACTGATACTCCCGCACATTTGTCTGAAACCGACATAAAATCTGGCACGACAATGCCACAATCTAGATGTAAGGTGAGCTTTCTGCATATATTTCAACCGCACAATGTGTATTAGGAAACAAAGGTTCTCTTCATTTATTTTCAATCACCCACCATTGGGTGCAAGACCTCTTCCTTAATCACCAGTAAGTGGCTAAGAGCACAATTCCCAAGTCCTATGAGACATAATCTCTTCCTGTACCCAGGGGCATCACTGCTCATTCGACCTGGAGCGCTGCGATGTTGACAACATGGGCCAAAAGCGCCAATAGAGAAAATTTACAAGGCGACAACATGGGCCTCACCATCGCCTTTTATTTAGAAACTATTAGAATGATGTCTTCGCCTCTACGGAGGCTGCCTTTGACAGGAGAGTGTTACAAAGGGTCCATAGGGACCAAGAAAAAGGGGAATCCGAACCAGACGGAAGCCCTCCCGTAGGACACGCCAAGCTTTGGTATGTCCCAAACAAAGGATGCTCTGAACAGCTCATCTGGAGAAGGGGCATTGGTACTTACCTGACACGCCCTTTCTCTGTGAGCTGTGAAGAGCATCCATCCCCACCCTTATTCGTCTGGTGGGATGCTATTCCGGCCAAGTATTAGAAAGGGTGAAGGAGAAGAAATATTTCATCACTTCGACTTTGCCAAAACTGGGGACGCTAGAGTCCCATGGAGGAGGAGGAGCGTCCTCTCAAGTCCAGCCTATCAAACGAGCGACAGCAGCAGCATCCCAAACAATGGATGCTCTTCACAGCTCACAGAGAAAGGGCGTGTTAGGTAAGTAACAACGCCCCTTTCCTGGTTCAACATTTTACTTAATACTACAGAATAGTACACTTTTGAACTAGATATTTATTAGGCTTCATTTACCTGGATTCTTTCAGGATCTTGAAAATTCCCCAACTTTAATCTGAAAATTATTTTAGTTTTTTTTCTGGCCTCATTTCACAGCTGGAGCTCTGCCCCTATTCATATGTGTGTGTGTGTGTGTGTGTGTGTGTGTGTGTGTGTGTGTGTATGTATGTATACGTGTGGTATTCAGCTTTGTGCGGGTATTTTCCCACGTCATTATAGTTGTGCTTTTAAAGTTGTATCAACGTTTCGGCAGAATCTCATCTGCCATCATCAGGCTTCTGTATAGTGTTCGTCTGTGAGTCAGACTTTCACAGCCGTTTCTGTTTTAAATTTGGTGCTAGCCTACTACTGTGCCAGAATGATTTTTTTCTTCATCCTGATTGGTTGGGAGTCTTGGTCTGTGTTTATTGGTCTTGGAGTTTGCTGTGTTCTGCTTGATTGGTGTTTCTAATATTTTCCGTCTGTTTTGTAGCTTTTTTTGTCTTGATTGGCTGGCAACATTGTGTTTCCTGTATTGGAGGCTTTTAGTGTGGCTTGGCTCCAAGTGAACGGACGGCTATCATTTATTAGGAAGCTAGGTTTCATCTGGGTGCCTGGTTGGGGTGTGTTTGAGCTGGAGGTATTAGGGGGAGTCTGTTTGTGCCCAGGTGTTTGCCTGGCTTGTGGTGCATATACATACATATACATATACATATGCATATGCATATACATATACATATACATATATATATTTAATTAATTAATTAATTAATTTAATGATTGTTTGCAGTTAGAGCGGCACTGAAAAAAGTTATTTATGACAATTTTTCACACTTATGACTGTTGCAGTATCCTCATGATCATGTGATTTATATTCGGATGCTTGAAAACTGGTTAATATTTATGACCATTGCAGAATCCCGGGGTCCTGTAAATCCCTTTTTGCAACCTTCTGATAAGCAAAGTCAATGGAGAAACTAGATTCACTTAAAAACCATCTCACTAACTAAAGAACTGCACTGGTTCACTTAACAACTATGGCAAGAAAAGTCATAAAATAGGGCAAAACTCAACAAATTTCTCACTTGGCAACATAAATTTTGGGCTCAATTGTGATGGTAAGTTGAGGACTACCTGTAGTTTTTAAAAAGTGGGTTAAAAAGACAAAAACATACACAAACATACACATGCCCACACATTGTTCCCCCCTAATTGAATACTGATAAATATATTGCAACAATGATAGCTTCCTCCCCTGTTTGTTTTCACAATGTCTACAAAAAGAGATAAAACTCTCTGGGAAACTTTTGGGGGGGGGAAATGCTCTTTAGCTTAGAATTTTTATTAGAAAACTGTAATTTAAAAAATTGATGGGCCAGCAATGGTTTTGACAATCTCAGGGTGGCAATCCAAGGCAGTGAATAAGAGCTGGACCTGATTTGCAGTCTGATGGACTGGAATCTGCTTTGGCAGTGGCAGATTTAAAGAGAAAAGAACCTGGTCTGAGAATTGCAGGCTTGGTGGAGAAAGCACTAAGAAACTCAGAGATGATGAAATGGATGAGTAATGGACTGGACTTTCTTGGATCAACTTGGAAGAAAGGATTCATTATATTTAATCAGACAACCATTGACAAGAGATGCTGTGTTTTCATTTACAGAGAAACTTTTTGAACAATGGGTGCTGCAGAGACTTTCACAATAGAAGTTTATGATTCTGGGAAGTGAGTTGCAATTGTTGGGAAGGTTCTCAATTAAAATTTTAAGGAAAGGTTGCATTATTAATAATCAAACAAGGATATTTGATTCTGGATGGACCAGAAATAATGACTGTAGTGATGTGTGTGTGAGAGAGAGAGAGGGAAGGGAGGGAGGGAGGGAGAGGGAGAGAGGGAGAGAGAGAGAGAGAGAGAGAGAATATGAATTGGTTGCAAATGGATGTAGAAGTATATACATTCTGGGAATTCTACTCCTGGTTTTAAAGGGAACTGTTTTTGTAGCAAAGAGAAAGGTTGGATTCTATCTGTGATCAAGGGCTGTATATCAGCCAAAGAAATATGAATGAGAAATGTTTGTAGTCTGAGGAGTTGCTTATTCCCTCTGAGGTCTGCTGGCCGGTAGTGGAATGATATTTACAATGTTTAGATTTAGCCCTTTTTTAAAAAATAGATCCTAGGACAATTCATATTATTACAGTAGTCATTGGAAAACAATTCAAATTAAACAATCAGCCAACATTATGGCAACAGAAGAAGCCCCAAGTATCTATAAATGTATTATTTCCTGTGCCTATTATAAAAATATTAATAGTGTTCTAATTAAGTATTCAGTTAATTAATATTAGTGCGCAGGAAAAAAGGAGCAATCTGGAATATTATTCACATTCACCTTGTAGGCTGCACAATCTTCTGCAGTTATGGGGCTTTCTCTCATTTTAGTAGGCATATGGTCACAGTCTGTCACAAATTGAGTAGTTTCCACTGTAAAATCTGAATCTTCTCTAAAAACAAGAGGAAATGCATTTCCTCATTATGATTTTCAAGATGTGTGCATTACACTGGAACCTTTTATAAGGATTCCATATTAAAAAAAATAAATCTCCCAAATGAAACCATTACCTCCATACTCTTTGGGTAGTTCAACAAAGCAAAACAAAAATTCAAGATTGCTTCTCTCTGGGGGGGAAAAATGACGGAATCCAGCTTCCTCTAGATGGGGTAATTTTAGGCAATTGCACGTAAATTCAAACTCACTTTTAACAAATATTGTGTCAAAGGAGCCCCAGTTACATTTGATTTTGAAGAAGAATAACTGGCACCATTTATTGGATGCACAAAAGAAAGTAGGTGGAAAGAGCAAGCATGTAACTGCAGAATTTCCTAGTAATGCATTTAAAGACTTAGAAGCAATGATTATCAATCACTCTTAAATGAGTAAGCATTAAAGAAATAAACCTGTTGAAGACTAATAGTCTCTTCCAGCACTTTCAGAAAGCATGGAAATTTAAATTCTTTCGCACACCAGTAAGCCTGAATTGCTCTCTATGTCTGATGGGATGGTTTAAGCATATGGCACTTGAGCCAAAATAAAATGGCAAATAGCCCCTTATTCTAAGAAAAAAATGTAGCTTAAAAAAGAGAGGAAAAGACCAGCCTTTCAAGAGCTCTGCAACCCAATCCTTTGCAGTTGTGTAGCTAAAAAAAAAAATAAGGAAAAGACCAGCCTTTCAAGAGATTCTTCAATCCAACCCTATGCAGGTTTGCCTATAAATAATTTTATGGTACTTAGCGTAATATGCACATGGGCAAGGTGATAAACAATATCTTGAGAAATATCTTTTTTTCATAGGGAACTATTCTCAGATTGGGTATCCATTAAACAAAGCTGGCTAGAGGATAAATGGAACTTAAGCTTTTTCAGGTATTTCTTATTTATTCAAAATGCAGGATCACAGTAGCTTTATGTGATCATTCCTCAATTTGGTTCTCTCTAGATGTCTTCTCATTCCTAGAATTCACTACCTTTGGCTTTGCTGGTTGACAGTTCTAAGTGTTAGAGTTCCAACACACCCTAAAACAGGGGTGTCAAACTTGATTTCATTGAGGGCCACACCAGGGTTGTATTTGACCTCAGGGGGTTGGAATGGGCGTGGCCAGGAGGGGTGTGGCCAGCTTGATATCACTCGGGGGCGCCTGTGGTGGGGGCGCCTGTGGTGCCTGTGGTCTCGGGGGCACCTGTGGTGGCCCGAGCACTCTGCCAGCGAAAATGGAGCTTGGGAGGGCCACGGGCAGCCCTTGCAAGATCCATTTTTGGTTGCGACAGCCTCCTGCAATCCTCTATCAGCGAAAACAGAGCTCAGGAAGGCCACACGAGTTCTATTTTCACTGTGGGCTGGGCCTTCACTCTTTCCAGGGCGTCTCCACAGGCCAGATCTAAGCACCTCATGGGCTGAATCTGGCCCCTGGGCCTTGAGTTTGACACCCCTGCCCTGAAGGGTACCAAGTTGGAGAAAGTGGTGTACCCTGGTTCTTTATGGAAGTAAAGGCCATCTTTAAGTAAGGGTTGTCTCAGCAGGTAAGGACAGCACTTAACTGGCCTTGACAGGTTTTGAAAACTTAGTAGGATTGGACTTATTTAGTACTTAAATGGGAAATCTTTAAATGATTTGTAAACCACACTGAGATAAAGTTTGAGAAGCAACCACCCACCCCAAACAAAGAAACAAGAAGAAACAGGTAACTGCAAACAACTTCCATATTATTTTTGAAAAAAATAACATGGAGTATATCTTGTCAATAGGAGATCAACTCAAAGGATCTTTACCTCTTTTAATAAGGGTTATCAGCTTTCTTTCTTTCAAAATACCAGTGGCTGGTATATATCAAAGCAAAGATTTTGTTCTTGGGGTAAAACTCAAGAACTCAGACCTTTTCTTTT